TCAGACATCGAACCCAGCCGCTGGTGCCTATTTTTGTTTGATATGAACCCGGCTTGCCGTGGTCTGAAGTTAGATAGTTCGTTGGGCGTGGGAGGGGGGGCGGGGGAAATGTCTGCGACTTTTCAAAAAGCATTGAAAATCCATCTTGATTGATTAAAATGTGGAGTTTTTTTTACCATGATTGCAGTTCTATCGCACGATACTGAAACATCGGACCGGGCTGCCAACGCCTCTGGTTGCTGCGGTCCCCTCTTGAAATTTCAAGTGATGTTGGCCGCGAGACGCCTGGCGCGCAAGCTAGGGAGGCGTTTTAAAACACTTAATCACGTGCGAAGAGCAGGGCTTTGACCACCACGCGGCGTAGGATTGCAAGTTGGGCAACCTCTGGTCGTGAAGAGTAAACCCACACATGTACTGCCGGTACGTTGCACATGCTGTGCGCATGCCGTGCGCATGCACAGCACATCAAAACTATCTGAACTTAAGTTTGGTTAGTAGATTCGTGCGCACTCGATAGCACAGCTTCAGGACTATTGCACGGTGTCGGAACAGTGGACCTGGACCTTTTTTGATCCCTCACGCGTGTTATTAATTCCGGGCGGCCGCTGGACGCTTGGCGGGTGAGATGCGGCAGCGCCTTAAAAATGTTTGTCGAGAGCGGAGAGTGGAACTTAATGCGTTTGATAGCACTGGCTCTGCGCTGTCTCACGACGCCGAAGCATCGGGCCCGGCCACCGGCACCTGTATTTTTTACCTCGAGCCCCGCACTGTGCACTATAGAGGGGTGCACGGCTACCCAGGACGCGGAAAGCGAATACAGCAGCGTTTTAAAAAGATGTTTGCGATCGACCTCAGCGAATACGACAGTGCAATTTTGATACCACCTCCTATGGGCATCGCACTCGAAAATCGCGTGCGGCTGCCAGCCTACTTGTTTGATATGACCACCTCACGGCGTATGATTGAAGGGTTGGTGACTTGTTAAATTGGCGAAATGGCAAATTGACAAATTTTGGCCAATTCTTGTGGTGAATTGTGCACACCTTACGGGAGCGTTTTTAACAGCGTTGCCTGAGCTCAGCGCGTGGGACTCTGCGCGTTTCCCGCCACTTCCTGTAAGCCATGACAAACACTCGAATATGGGGCTCGGCCGCCGGGGTCTTTTTTGATTTGATCCTCTCACGGCTAATACTTGAATGCGGGCGCTCGTTCATGGCAAGGAGAGCGAGTTACATCAGCGTCTTACCGAGCGTTGTGAGTGGGGCCGGGCGTGTTCGATAGCATTGCCATTGGGCTATTTGCACGACACTCGAGCAGCGAGCCAGGCCACCGGTACGTATGTATGTGTATGTACAGGGATTATTGCTGACAGACAGCGGTGAGAGTGGGACCGTGTGCCTTGGAGAGCACTAGCTCTGGGCTGTCGTATCGCACCCAAACACCGCACTCGCTTGATGCAGCTTGTTTTTGTTTGATTTGACCACACACGTCGTATAGATATAAATAAATGAATATATCTATACATATATTTATATCCGCGTTTAATCATGCTATCCGCGTATTACTAAACGCGGGCGGTAACGTTAACGATAAGAGTAAATTGCGAGTGCGGTTCAGAAATATCTAAAGTCGTGCTCGGCGGATGGGGTCCCGGGCGCCTGATAACTCCGTATCACGACCATCACTCAAGGCCCGAACCTTGGACCTGGCCGGCGGTGCCTCTTCATTATATGACCACCTCACGATTGTATTATTGAATTTGGGCGGTCTCTGGGCGCATGATACACTTGGTACGGCATTGCGCTACCAATGCTTATAAACGCGCGCGAACCTTGGGGCGTGCGTTTTAACACGCGCCCGAGAGGCCGTTTGGATGCGTTCGGGTGGGGGTCAAGTTGACCCCCCTGAGGTGTCAGGAACTCAGAGGGCTAGGGACACTAAATTCACAAGGTGTGTTGACCTGTACGTGAACTCACGTAGGTCAACGTTTGACGTTCCCAGATCATGACCTTCGGGTTAAATAAGGTCAAACAAGGTCAAATTCCAAGCCGATCTCCAACGTGTCCACAGGACCTAGATACCTGTTCCAAGCAAAAGGTCACATGCTCGTTTAAGATCACCTTGGTCGTTTAAGGTCGTTTAAGGTTTAAGGAGACCTTGTTTGACCTTTCAGAGGTCATAGTGACCAAAATGATATGAGACTGCTTTGAGTTTTGCATTAGAATAAGTGACAAAGATTACGCTAGGCGGTATGCTCCTAAAACGAAATGTTGACCTGGGCTATTTTGGATCAGTGCCTATTCTGACCATAAGAGGTCCATGGAAGATATATGGTGCGGTTATTGTCATCAATAAATTCAAAATGAGCACGAGAAACTACCATATACAGCAAGCCCTAGATTAACAGATAGGTTGGTTTTGACCTTGGTCTGACCTCTATATCTGACCCCAGGTCAATACAATTTGGTCATTCAATTATTATGTTGCCTAAGAAAGTACCCCATAGATGTATGGCTTCATCTCACATTCCGTTGTTCCATCAGATTAAACGACTCCCTAAACATTAACCTCACAGAATCCATGGCCTGGCTTTGACCTGTCATAGGTCAGCGACCTTACAAGGTACATCCGATTTTTGGATTCCACACGATTTGCTATTCAGTTATCTATAACTACGAAAAATTTGACGCGGCTATGTCACGTCTTACGGAAACCACTCCGGAAAATTCTCCGGAGGGGGGGAGGGTCAATTTGACCCCCCACCCCCACCCGAGCGCGTGTTAACTGGCGGCGGTGCGCTTTTGCAAAGCATTCAAACATCGCGCCTGATCGCCGTGTTTGTTTAATGTTTTGTTTGATGATGTACTGTGGCTGTCGGTGAAAAACACATTCCCAGTGCTTTCATAGCATTCCAAAATGGTGGACCAATTGGTGTTTTGGCATGCTTCGCCAAGCTGGAAATCGACTGGCATTTTTACAGGTTCTAAACTTTTCAGTTCCCATTTGTTTGCCGTCCACATTTGCTCTAAAAGTTTTGCATTAGATTGGCTCATTGTTTTTACCGCTTGGAGTTGGCGCATCCGAGATATGGATATTATCGATGGATGGATATGGATATCATCAGTGGATGGACAGACAGGCATATTGACGGAATTGACTCACTGGTGTAATGTTGGAATACTACCTTTTACCTGGAATTAACTACCTGGTGTAATGGTGTAATTAACTACCTGGTGTAAACTGCCTGCTGTAAGGTTGGAAATGATGAGTATCGAAGTGGCAGTGACGGTTCGTTTGTAAGTTTGAAGAAGAGACAGTTCGCTATTTATACCTATAATGGGCGGATGATGTCTCGGCACACGGATCACATTCGGAGGCGATGTGCGACTGAGCCGTCTGGGGTGCTGGCGCGTCACATCGGGACTGCCGTCCTGGACTGGTATAGCATACCTGAGCCAGAGCGGCCTGTGGCGGCGCTCGTGGCTGCGCCTGCCGGGCCCGGACTGGAACAGGCTGAAGGCAGATGACGTGAACGCCCGGCCGCCTGCGCGCAGGCTTGATCTGAAGCAGTGCCAGGGAGCACAGCCTGGACGTGATCTGGTGCCAGTGTTTGAACGCTGTTCGGCGAAGTCGGGAATTTCGATGGCGAAGGTGTGGGGCTAAGGTTGAGAGGCAAATCGCGTGTTATGCTTTGTTTTGTAGAGACTGTTGTTATGCACGAAGAAGCTATTGTTGAGGTGCAATATGACTGGTGGCCGGTAATGTCTGCGTTAGCATCATAGATCATAGCTTCCAATCGGTCATCACCAGCCGAGCTGTGAGCGGGACGGGGGGGGGGGGGGAGGGGGACAGAGCGCGTGCGAATACGCGAGGCCAGGCTGGTCCGCCGAGCTGAGTGGACCGCCTGCATGGTTGCGCCTTTCTGTCAGTGGTATTCTCATGCTACAGCCGAATACCTAGATCGTTAGGAATATTTCTCCACTTGTTTTGACAGTATGCGTTCAATGAAAATGTGATGCTGGTTCCCGTTGATTACAAAGTACTTGAGGTAAAATTCTACGTTGTAAATTGGATTCGCAACTGCAAATTGACGTCAAATCTTAAACGAGTTGCGCGCGGTGGCACATCTGATTATTCTGGCATGTCTCCGGTCCCCACGGGGTCATTAGGGTATGCTGACCAGGAAACAACGCCGATAAGTAGCGCCAGGTTTTAACGAACGCAATTTACCGTCTTATGTGCTCCGCAAACCCCATTCCATCTCCTCCAACGAGATCAAGCAGCGAATAATCTTGAGTGGTGCCCGTTTTGGGCAATGTTCAGGCAAATTTGGGGGCCACCTCGCGAGGGCCCTGAGCGCGCAATTGTTACCCGCGCCCATTTTTGGCCGAAGCTAATCGTTGAATACTTGTCACGCTTAAATTGTGGGTTACCGCAACTCATTCTGATCATCGCGATGCTCCTCTCTTTGCCCACTGTCCGCTATTTCCGTTGGAGTTCACCTGCTTAGTTTTCACTCCAGCATGCGGCCGTCAGAGGCAACAAAGTAGGGAAGAGTGGGGGGGGGGGGGGGGGGGGTGCAAATGGGACAGCTGATCCCAGTTTCCACAAAATTTTACAAAGCCGTATGGCGTTGCAACGGATGAACTTTCTTTCAAAACCGCTTTGACGTCCTTCCCCAACCCACAAGGAGTCCCGCCACTCCTGACTGCATGAACAAAACAAGCTTAGTGGGTAGTGGGAGCCTTGGAACATCAACATTAAGTCAAGCGGATGCTCCCTCTTTAGAGCGAACTGTTTCCAATCATCGCCATAAGGGAGCTGATTCAACTGTTCCTTTCAGCAATGCTTGGCAATTCTTCATCTTTTTTTCAAAACCATGTGGGTAATTGACAACCTTCACAAAACATATTGCGACATTGCCAGGCCGGCTCCTTCTCAGTCAGTCCTGTACAGAGGCTCCGGAGAAGCACCTCCGTACATAACGTTCCATAGACAAGTTCGAGAGGTAACGACCGAATTGTATTAAGGAAATATCACTGTGTTCAATGTAACAGCCTTCAGGTTCAATCCTTTTGGGCGGTGACCGGATTAAACACATCCAAGTACTTCGTTCCATTTGTTTTTAATTTCCCCGAAACATTGAACATGCTGGTAGCACAAACTCACTTTCGTATCATCAGGCCGAAAACGATCCAAGCATGCAACAGGCAGGCTACCCAGTAAATAATACACAAACATATAAACATGCTACCATTTTTTTTCACCCTATCTTCCGTCTAAGACAAGGTGAGCGCTGTCGCAATCTCCGAGAACGTTGACGTTATAGCCACGGCCACCATCTTAGTTCAAAATGAATCACAAAATTACGAGCTCACCGTGTAGACAACGAAAAACATCGATTTTAGCTTGTTCGTGTGCGCTGGAACGAATGCCGTTGTTTCTTCATGAGAACAGAAGTTGCAGAGGATTCATGGGCAGCTGCTTCCATAGGCCACGTAAATGATTGCTAAATAAAAACACATAAAACAACGTCCTGGTCAGAAATAATCGGCATACGGCCCTTACGGACATTATCATCCAGTACAGAAGTAAACCATGTCCACATCAGTCACGGCTCGTGCTACTTGTATTGACATTCGAAAAAACTCGGCGAAAACTAGGCATGTTGTCAAAGTCTACCGTCACCCGGTCGACTACGACGATGAATGTGGCAAAATAGGCACTACAAACCAACCGCACCGCAGGTCTTCTACCACCGGACAGAAACGTAGTTTCAGCATTGTCGCTGGGAATGACGCCCGCTCCTGCCGACAACTGAGGGGTGCGAGTGACAGAAACGCGCCCGCTGGCCGCCTCTTCCCTGACCACCCCGGCTCGGCGTCTCAGTCAGATCAACTACGCCCTGCAGGACAGCCCGGCGCAGCAGGCCAAAAGAGCTGGTCCTCACATCAGCACACGCCTGACGCGCTGCAGGGCTCCCGCGCCTCGCCCACTGCACACCATCTGCCCTGACCGCGGTCGGTAGCAGAGGTTGGTCCTGACCGTAGGGGATTGGAACGGCGCCGCCGGCACGAGACGTGATGTGAACGAGGCGGACAAACAACACTTGGCAGTAGTAACCGAAACACAGTCGCCGAATGGGCTAACAGACACTGTCCACACCAGAGTCCAGCTAGCAAGAGCCGACGACGGCTAGTCTGTCAATAATACTGACACTAACAGGCGGCAGTCTCCAGTTATGGCTGATCCTCAGTCTACAAGCCCAACACAAAGACGGTGGGCGAATGATTATCTGCGGTTTGATGCAAACTATAATTATCCCACCTCCACACAGAAAGACTGCGCCCAGACGAAAACCCAAGCGAAACGGCACTCTCGCTCCAGCTCATAAACGGTCTGCGACTATGGAGAAAGCCACCGGATATTGGCCCCTATAATGTGATTGGAGAGAAATCACGCATGGAGCGGTCATTGGTCTCTAACTGGAAAAATAAACATTCCGCCGAGAGAATACTGCCAAAACTACATGTAGCCATAACGACGCGTGGAAAAATGCTTCCAAAAAGGCCAGAGCAATGTACGACCGTGCACTCGTGAGCTCTGAACGCATTTATCAGCCTGAGCAACTCGATAACTTTCGACTCCATCCACGACACCTCCGGCCAGCCGGGACCACCCACCTGGTCATGAGAACCCCTTCCGAGGTCATGGGACAGAGCTAGGCACGACCAGCTCGGACCCGGACCCCCGCCCCCTCCCGGCTGCAAGGCGGGACTGCGCTGCCTGTCGGCACGACGGCCGGCCCCACTCAGAGGCAGGGCACCGCGACTGATGTCTGGAGACGCCTGCTCCAGCCATGTTCCGCCATCACCGTGGTCCTCCTCGACGGTGCGTTCCCAGCGACTCCCCAGCCACAGCCCACCTGACGAGTGCCAGTGCTCGTCCCGGTCCGGGCCGGCCGAGGGCGCGGCACCCCCTCCCCCGCGGATGGCACCCACAGCCCGCCAAGGGCACCGATCGCGCCCGAACGGCGACGGGCGGCTCGCCAACAACACGGTGCTACGATGAACGTGCAGTATGAAAGTGCAAAAGTGGTTCGCAGGACCGAAGAACTACGTTCTACCAAAAAGAGGTGAAAGACCCGATGCGCGACCTGGTGGGCCGCTCAGGGGCTCAGCTCAGAGGCTCCGCGCGCGGCTGCGCCCTCTGCCGGCGCGAGCTCGGCTGCGCGCTGGCCGCACACGTGCGCCGCGATCGCCAGCGCGCCGCCCTGGACGAAGCGCACGAAGTTGTCGCCCACCAGCGGCCCCATCGCGTACAGGCCAGGCGCGTGCACCGCCTCGTGCGTGAACGCGTCCACCTGCACCGGGTTGTGGCGGCCATCAATCGGCTCGCCAGACCGGGAGCCGAGCGCCTCGGGCTCGGCCACGAACTCCAGGCAGGGCCGCGCCCCGATCATGACAGCCACGTGACTGACGTTGACGGTGACGGCGCCCTCGGGCGTGGCCAAAGTGACGGCGCCGCTCTCGCCAATGCGCGTGACGCGCGCCTGCGGCAGCGCCCGGTAGCGGGAGCAGCTGCGGCCGCCGTCGCGCATCATCTGATGCACCTCGTGGTACTCTGGGTAGAGCGCGCGCGGCAGGCTGTAGAAGATGAGCGCCCGGTCGGTGGCACGCCGTCGGAAGGCGTGGATCACGGGCAGGCGGCGGGCGCGCGCCGCCAGGATGACGTCGGCGGCGCTGAGGCCGGCGCCGACCACCAGCAGCGGGCCGGCGACGCGGCCCGACGCCAGCAGCGCCTCCATGCTGGAGAGCGTGTGGCAGACGAACGGCAGCGCCTCGCCGAGGCAGCCGAGGCGCGACGGCACGTCGGACGTGCCGCACGCCAGCGCCACGCGCCGACTGGCGAAGCAGAAGCGCTCCAGCAGGTCGTCGGCGCCAGCGCGGTAGCCCTCGACCAGCCAGAGGGGCTGGGCGTCGGGCGCCGGCCGCTGGCTGATCGGCTGACCAGAGCCGGGCACCAGCGTGAGCCGGTCGTCCTCGGGGTTCGAGCCGTACCGCCGCAGTGACGTCACCAGGTAAGAGTCGCGGAAGTGTGACGTCAGCTGGCGGCACAAGCGGCGGTGACGTCAGGCGACGGCGGCGGCGGGACGGCCCGCCACAGGCGCAGCTGCACCCGACACAGACCGAACGGGCCACACGTCTGACGAGGAGGGCAACGGGCCGAGGGCGACGGCCAGGACGACAGAGAGTCTCGCTACGCCCGGCACTGGCCGCGAACATGCATACGGTCAGACAAGCCAAGCGGTATATTATCAACGACAGGCAACGGTGAGACAACCGGTCTCAAAGGCGGTGCCAAGACGGCGGCCAAATAGGCCACGCAATGCTACCCACCACATACAATGCACGGGTGTGACATGGAGACCCACAAGATCCACAACCACACGTCGGAGAGCGTACAAAGCAGCCCAAGGGACATTCGAACCACTTGCCAAACACGTGTGATGCTCTCAAGAAAAAACGGCACAAAAGAATGCAGAATGGACCATCACAAACAACTTTTTCATCGTCAGTCATTTTAAAACATCACGTGACGACACGCGTATAAGAAATGAATAAAAGATATTGAATATTTGCCATGACTATAGCCGTGAAAACAAAGGACAGTAGGCCCAGAGAAAAAATGTTAATGTCGGTTTTTCATACTGCTGCCGTTGGTGTCCCACGAGCCGTACCCGCATGGTCTGAACGTAGTCGGCGTAGTAGCGGGCCACGTCGGCCACACGAGCCCGTGAGCGCTGGTTGTCCACGCACCACTGCTGGAAGCCGAGCCCAGGCAGCTCCATCCAGCTGCCCAGGCTCACCGTCAGTAGGTCGCCGGCCATTTTCTGCCAGCGAAGAGTCCGTCAGACCAGGGTCAACCGCAAGCTGACACCGATGTCGGGCTGACAGATCGGAAACACTGCTGCACACCCTCGAGCAGTTTGTCGCGTTGCATAATGCAACACGACATCAGAGATGAGCTAGTGGGGCTCAGAGAGACGTGGCCCAATATCGGTTTCTGCTACCAAATGAAAGCCAATTAAACCAGACAAGTTACAGCTTGCGACCAATGCCACCAAGCTAGTCTGTATATCTAAACCGAGCAGACGGCTCGTTGGAGGACAGAACACGACCGGCTAGTAGTTTACAGGGAAAGTAATTGTCTGACAGAGTGGATATAACGCAGGGAACTGAACATAAACGAAATCGTTAGAGGTCACAATCAGCAGGCAAACAAGGCGAGGGGCGCGCAGTCCGATCACCCGGTCCAGTTTCTCAGTGCTGAGTTACGAAACGGTAGCGGTTGACGCGGGTCACCTTTGGTGTCTCCGGCCAGGCCGAAATGTCTACAATGCAAACATTTCAAATGATGCCGGCAGCGGGCGAAAACGTGATCGGACGGGAGACAAGCCGAAAGCACTCACAGACTGTAGACAGACTGTAGACAAAGACTGCATTTACATTGAATGGAGCGTAGCGGCGAAATCCCTTAAATGCTTAGCAATGCAAATATATGGAACGGATCTGAATTAGCTAGGGCCATCCGCATCATATTCTGCAACCGACCGATACCTCCGCACCCTGCTGACGGGATCACGTCCGAAGCCCCGTTGAGAAGACCAGCCCAGCCAGCCCATGCCCGATACCTCCGCACCCTGCTGACGAAATCACGTCCGAGGCCCCGCTGAGAACACCAGCCCAGCCAGCCTACGTCCGATACCTCCGCACCCTGCTGACGGGATCACGTCCGAGGCCCCGCTGAGTCGACCGGCCCAGCTGGCTCCCCGGCCGCTGCTGACCTGCCAGACGCCGCCAGGAGGGCCCCGGCCCAGCACCACGTGGTCCACCGCCTTCTCCTCCCGCTTGACCCAGGTTACGGTCGATTGTTCGCCCGAGCCGAGGTCGGCGCCCGGGTGGTTAAGCGTGTCGAACAGCACGGAGATCGGGTTGTTGGACCGACCCTCCAGACCCTGCGACGGAAGGCAACCATCAACCAGCATCCAGGCAACCATCGGCGGTCTGAATCCGTCATCAGCAAGTGCTCGTCATGGAGAAATGGCCACCAGGATACGTCGTGATGGTAAGTCAATGTAAGGATGAGTTTCATCAGTCAGTAATTCAGTAAGTACTCGATGTAAATAGCTTGGGCACACAAGATCAACCCACACAGAGAACATCAGATCACTTCAGATCACATCCGATCACAGATCAGGCCAACTTTGACAAAACCAGTATGAAAATGTCGTATTGGCTCCCTAGTCTGCATTTCAACTGAACACCGCCGATTATGGTGCAGCGTTGGCAGTTAGGCGAAATATCACACCGACGGCCGTCACACTCGGGCGGATGCGGACTACCACGCCGACAGCCGTCACACTCGGCAGACTATCACATCGACGGCCGTCACATATGGGCGGATTATCACATTGACAGCCATCACACTCGGGCGGACTACCACACCGACGGCCGTCACATTCGGGCGGACGATCACACCAAAGGCCGTCACACTCGGCGGACTATCACACCGACGGCCGCCACATATGGGCGGACTACCACACCGACAGCCACTACACTCGGGCGGACTATCACACCTACGGCCGTCACACTCGGGCGGACTATCACACCGAAGGCCGTCACACTCGGGCGGACTATCATACCGGCGACCCTCACACTCGGCGAGTCTGAATGACGTCAGCTGACACGAGAAGCACATCGCCCTCGGCACGTTCCGAACCTTCCAGCTGCACGCTATGGCACGGACACTAAATATACCAGAAGGCAGCCTACGCACCGTCGTTACGAGAACTTGCATGGGGACGGCTGCAGTGCTTGGAAAAAACGGCCAATGGAGGCCTGTTCGCCTGAAGCCCGGCTGGGATGGATGATAGGTTGTTTATGATCAAAGAAACGGTGATCCACCCCCATGACTGAGAGCGGACATCGACTGACAGAGACGGCCCACTTTCTGGCTGAATGGGCAGACTACAGACGATGCGGCGGGCTAAAAACATCGTGCGCTTTTTCTCGGCCAAATTAACCGATTTTGGTTCGTTGAGATGCGCTGGCGATCGCCACCATGTGCCGTAGGGGCCATGTTTGGAGACGTGTGCGATTTGGTGTTCACACGTCCAGCTTTGTTTACAAGGGACTTCCGAAATGCGCTCTTACGGCGGCACAGCATGCGTGCCTTCTGAAGCATTGGTCAGTCTGTCGCGAAATAGATCAACATCGGGTAACACATTTCGGCCTACCTATAGACTGAATGACATGATTTACAGACATCAGCGCAAGCCAAGAATAGCCGGGGCTCCACTGTCGCCTTCCGCTGGTCGGGGCGCCGGCGGGCGGCACCTGTACACCGGCGGCATTGTCCGCGTCCACACGCGACCCGGGCCACCATTGGCCGCGTGACCCGGACGATGCATGACGTCACCGGCGAGCCACTCGACCGGTCAGGCGGTGCTGGGAGGGGGGGGGGGGGGGGCTTGGTTCTGAGCGGACCCGGCCACACCGCCGAAGTCTGACAAGGCAGTCCCGACAGGCGGGGGCCGGCTCCGGACAAGCGACCGGACAACGGATCGGCGGGAGCCCGTCCCAACGGGCCGCCTGTCGCTGGGAGGGCGGCAGGTGTACAGGCTCGTTAGAGTCATTAGCGAGGGCCGGGAATGGCCAGTGGCGCGTAGGGCGGCGCTGGCTCACTGCCCAGCGGAGTGGCGGGCAGGCACGGCCCGACACCACGCACGGTCACGGTCACAGTCACGGTCGCGGCGCCTCCAACAGTGGCGGGTCGAAGTCACAACGGTCGCAACAGGGCCCATGCAGCCTTTCATGCAAGACAGCAACGGAGCGCGGCTGTGTGGCTTTCGGCACACTCAGGTTGGAAAAAAGGAGTGAGCATCAGGAGACTACTCGTTCTATTAACGCCATACGTGCTTACGTAGTTTTCTTGACAAGGGGCGCGTGAGGAACCCTATTGGGGGTGTGAGTGGGAAGGAGTCTGGGAGCAGCAGTGGGCCACATGATGCATTTCTTGCCTTCTGCTGCGGCATTTTCCGATCGATCCCTGCCGTCGGCCATCATTCCGCGAAACTTGGGATTTTACTGGGCATTCCCCAACGTCAAATATGGTATTGGCTTGGGGGAGTCATTTTGCAGTGCGTAAGCGCCATAGGCAGCTCGGAACACAACCCGGATACCCGCTTGGGGGAAATATTGGGAGAAGTTCCGGAGCCGAACCAAGCCAAATCGAACCAAACCGAGCCGAACTGAACCAAACCGAATCAAATCGAACCAAACCGAACCGAATTAAATAATAAACCACCTGTTAGAATGATTCGTGAATACAATGAACATGAATGCGAATGTAAAACGGTTGAGAATCCCAAGCGCAATGTCTCATTTTTGTTACTGATCCCCAGGCGTTCCCCAACCGGAAACTTGGGAACGGTCGGGATATTCCGAGTATGATGAGACCGAAGTCGCTGGATGGAGCGCTTCGATTTACGCGTCAAACACAAGTGAAAATAGGTGTAGTCCTTGAAACTGCTATTCCGTGCTTCCCCAAATGTCCCGTAGTCCCGACACTTGCCAAGGGGGCGGAACAGAGCCCTGCGTCTCCGTTACGTGCCCCACATAACGCCAGGCCCTTCTAGATAGCTCACGTCTTCGACCGTGATCACGGACAAGGCCTTCGCAAAATCACAGTCGTTTTTCACGCTGGTAAGCTCTACAGCGCATGACAGGCGAGGCCTTGCTTCAAGCAGCCGTCATCTGTACAGTGCATAACAGGCGGGGTCTTGCTCCATGTGGCCGTTATCCATACAGTGCGTGATGAGCAGGTTATTACTTCGGGTAGCCGGCATCTGGACAGCCCGTGACAAACAGGGTCTTGCTCCAGGTGGCCGTTATCTATACAGTGCATGACAAGCAGGGTCTTGCTCTAAGTGGGTAGTATATGTACATTGCATGACAAGCGAGGCCTTTCTTCAGGAAGCCAGCATCTGTATAGTGCATGCGTCATAAGCCGCAAGCAGCTGGGGGCCATGCAATACGACGGACACTGGACCTTCCCAAAGTCCAAGGTGAAGTATTGACCCAAGTGACCACATCGCACAGTTGCGTAAATATGTACCGAACTTAAACTTGCCAGGACACATAACAAAAAGAATATACATCGGTGATGTCGTAAAAATGGCTCCGCAAGTCTTCCGAGATAAAACATCATTTCCTCAGTAATCTGACAGGAACATCAGCTACACCAAGTCTCACAGCGCTGCCTACTGTCTGTTTTCTAAGGCTAGAAATCATCTGTTGGGTGACAGCATCCACTCCTTTACTTGGCGAAGGTTAAGCGTGCTATCAATATCCCGACGTTAGACAGGTGATGGTCGCGACCGGTCAGTGTCCTCAACTTAGACATGTCCTCGGGGTGCTGCCGCAGACCGGTCAGCGTCCTCACCATGGTCAAGTGCTTTCATTGTCCTCACCCCGGAAAAGTGCTCTGTATCCTCACCTCGGACAGGTGCTCCAGGTCGTGCTGTAGCAGAGAGGTAGCCGGTGCCGTCTCCAGTTTCTGGTGCAGAAAGGCCGGGATGAGGCCGCCGCCGCCGCCGCCCGAGTAGTACGGCCAGTTGCCCGCCAGCAGGTACGAGAGCGTGATGGCCGACGGACCGTTGCCTGACAACACCAACCGTGCCGGCCTCACAAGCAGACAGTGGCGGTAGCCAGTGCAGCTGCCAGCACAACTGTCCTTCTCCTAATGCCAGTCTCAGCTCATTGGCAGTGGAGAGATATCTGAAACATCTGACTTGTCGGCGAAACCGTTCGACGTGCGAAGTGCGCGGCCAGAGCTCCGTTCTTGTTGAACCGTTGGTCGCAGCGCACAAAGGAGTGTTGACGAGAAAGGCAAATATCATTGACACAAACATGACAGCAGATTTCGCACATGGCCAGGCTGTGATAAACATGACAGCAGATTTTTCGGATAGCAAAACTATTGCAAACACGCAATGCACGTTTTTTAGATTTTGATAAACGGTGCATGCATAGGTGTACATGCGCTATCAAGTGATTTGCTAGGATCAATGCTTCAGCAACCAAATGAATACAGTAAGTCGATTCCCATGACAACTGCCACGACTGGGCGGCTCCACAGCGACATGTGCCGGCTTTGTTTTTGCACGTGGTTCAATACAGCAAACCATACATTACGCCAGCTTGCTAGGGTGTATGGTCCCATGGTAACCAGATACAACAACGTCTCAGCTATCCATACTTTAGTCACAGGACGCTTACACGAGGCACAGGAGGCTTGCCATGTTCATTACCGCGCCAGCCGCGGTAGTCATGTGCCGAGGTCATTCTCCATGCCAGCAAGGAAGGCCATGAGCTCCTGATTTTTGCGCAACATGGGTTGGGAGTTCTTACGCTCAAAGCTTTCCCAGCATAATCAGCGCTTGCATAATAACGCCGATCGACCGATACCTCCCGGTAGACTGTAGGTCGTTAATTTTCCACGTAAGAACTCCCAAGTAATAGCATCGATGTCATTCTCTAAGACTGCCAATTGCATCGAGGCATGCATGAGACAGTACTGCATGCAGATTAACAAGCGGGGTCGAGCTATTCTGGTGAACTGGACGTTCGTGCGACTTATGGTGACATAGCTGGGGCAACGTCCGTGCTTTAGGGCATTCGGCCAAATCGCATGGTGCATTGGACTACCTGGCTCATTACATGCACGCGTGCTCACAGCCATCTAACTCCCAGGTCCGCAGGCAGGTGCCCTGCGGCCGGTCGGCGTAGTCATGCCTCCGAGCCATAACCGCGACGATGGATTTCCATAATGGCCGGAGACAACGGCCTCGCTCTAAATCCGCGGCACCGGACATCCACAGGCAGATAACTATTACATAACCAGATGACGAGTAGGTAAACGCAGTAGCACAGTGCGCCTACGCTTTTATACGCGGTGACAATACAGCGCTTAAAAAACAGCGATTGCCAACAACAAATACAAATGGAAAAGAACTGCCGCCAGAATCTCATCAGCGGTGATTTAGTGTAGCAGCACGAAAAAAAACATCAATGGATTTTGCTTTGTTAACTGAGGAAAGTGGCTTAACATGACAAAAACTGCACATAATGCCTGTGTGACATAGGCAAACGTGGTAGCGGTACAACACAGCATACTTGTACGACGATGGGTAAAACCCCTTGCCTCATCCACATAAACATCAAAACGCGATGCTACCACGTCAGACAACATCAGACCACTTTTACAACTATTGCCGGTACGACGCAGGAGGCCGCAAAAGGTTTGAGTCGTACATGCATCATAATGTTGACATCAAGACGCCGTAGGACCAGCGATGGCGAAAATATGTCGGGGCCAGCGATGGCGAAAATATGTCGGGGCCTCACACGGGCTGGGCGCGGCCCCGACTCGCGCGGGCACAACACATTTGCTGATAAGGAATTTCCCGGAGCTTCTCTCACTGACCGCCAAATGGCATGACTTGACCCACCGCGCCACCTAATCGTGTGGCAGGAGCCATTGGGTTTCATGCCATTTTATTGATATTAGTTATCGTTTTATATTGGTGTATGTTTGAACCATATCGACCGCTGATTAATAGCTTTAACGAGATTATGGATGATGAGTTATGGACCGCGTCTCACAGAAGCATACAATATGCAATCCATGTTACCGCAAGTCAGCAGCATGCGTCCACGGCGGCATGACGGACGACGCGTATGCCATTTGTTCAACGCATTGCTGATCAGCAAATATTTGGCCCCACGCACAACATCCGTTCAGCTGGTACGACGACATGAGGCCGGCGGCGACACAGGCCCTCCGGAGAGTGGTCTGAGCTGGTAACGCCATCGCCACAGCTGGCCCTCACGACCTCCACAAGGTCGCGCGCGCACCATACAATGCCAGACGCTTGACGGAAAAATAACCAAACGTCGGCCTTGATTTACGCCGCGAGTCCGGCGTGGGGGCCTGCGACGCTTCCGGAGAACGTCAGACTCGCGCGCCTCGCGAGTCGCGACAGAAACAGGAGGGCTGGCAGGTTTCGCGGTGCCATCAGCCGCCGTGGGGCCACGAAGCACGGCACGTGAGGCGCGAGGCGGCACACGTGCAAGAGGCGCGACGCGGCGCATGTGGAGCGGTGCGACGCGGCCCGCGTGGTAGGACTCATTCAAAGGCGCGTACACACACACGTGCCGCCAGCCGCGCTTCGAAGGTGAATTGGTCACGCTCGTCCCAGCGCCAAAGACCGGATTCCCCAGCGATGCGGCCGTGTGCGGTATCTGTTCCCTAAAAAAATACTTTTACCGCGAGGAACGGCATGACGTGAATGCTGTCGGTGCTGACCTCTACACAACTTTTTCGTGACACTAACGCGATGCACCAACCACGAAGTAAGACATATACAATTTAAGTTTACGTTCACTTGTTTGACTTGCAGAACTGAGAGAAAACGATGCTCCCATTTCGATTTTGTTACGAGATTAACTGTGAAATTATGGAACAAAGACATCTGAAATACACAACACAAATAGAACATACGAAACTGAATTTATGGGGAACTGCGTTAATTGATGAGGGGGACGAAAGTTAATGGCGGTTTTTCCCAGACCGAAATTTGCCCACCAAACCATAACAAACATAAAACGAGTTTTTTGACACCCTGAAGTATTCTTTTGCGTTTTTTCGTTATTTTAAGTGCCTCGATTTCGAAACTATTGGATGCCAAAAGTGTCGCAAATGACATCATATTTATTGTGCAATTTCTGAACATTATCGACCTAACGAACACACTTCCTCTCATGTGGCCACATGATACGTATTACACATCCAAATGTTTGCAACGTCTCGTGCGACACGGGGTATCATCAGACAATGAGAGGTAACGAGTAAGACGTAAGTTACAAGTGAGCAAGTGAATGAACAGTTTGGCCATGAAGAATGACTTACGTTATGACCCGTTTGTGCTGAAAATTGCCAATGTAGTACACAACTTTCGCTTCAACACCGGTGATTATGCGCACCGTCCTAATGATATCTACGTAGGCCACACGAACACGACCCTCAGCAGACAAGTTCCGATACACTTTTGAGATGGAGGCCCTATTCACCATCTCAAGGAGGCCACAGCAGCCAAATAAGCTGACAACTTATGATTAATAACGCCAACATTCTCGCCTATTGCTCTTCTGACAGGCGGAGGCTCCAAACGCTAGAAACAGTACACGCACATCCGCGACAACGACCCTGTCATCAACCGCCAGGTCACCGCAGGGGGCACACTCCGCTTGCTTTACAGTCTGACGTATGCAGCCAGAATGTGAAGATTTTCTGACTGAGGGTTCCCTCAGAAATTTTGCACGAGGCCATACGGTTTTGTCTGAACCACCCTGATCGGTTCAATGCGAATTTTCCGTGCGATCGACCTATACCGAGTGTATGCCTTGTTCTGATTTTATTCTAATGTCATTTGAATATCATGCTTATTTAAATTGTCAAACGATGTTCTATGTAGCATGAACCGTTGCAAACAGTTGGATAGCTTAAAATTCGCATTGAGCCACATCGGGAAAATTGTGTTCGTAAGATCTAGAATAGTAAGAGGACATTGCAAAACAAATATGTTGTAATTTCGAGAAAAAACTTTTGCACAAACAAACCTGCCGCCCAAGTACAACCTCTTATGTGCCTCATAAGTAGCATATATATATATATATATATATATATATATATATATATATATATATATTCATATCATTATGAATAATGCAATGAATAACACATTTGGAACGGGGTGGGTCAAACCATCCAAAAGCAAGGCCTAAGTTTAACACAGCACTCCAAGCCCAGACTTATCAGGACCGCGCAAGCAGTTTGCGCAGCTCCGGATCCCAGTGCATTATCAGCTCCCAAACCAGGCATCTGCTGAGTGGCTTCGGAAGCGCTCACAGGTAATAGAACCGGCTATCGCGAAGAACCATGCACCGATATCGACTGACATGCGAGCTACCGGCTCACGCCACAATAACGTGACATCCACTCACCGATGATGACGACATCGTGGAACTGAGCTTCGCGCCGCTCTTGGTCGGAGGCGGTACGCATGCTTGCGGCGGCCGGCCAGTGTCACGCGCCGGGCGCAGGCAGTACTCCTCCGGCAGGCCGCTGCACGCCCCTTCAGCCGGCTGATAGCATGGCGCACCAGACGGCGGAGCGCGCACACCTGGCGCACGGGGCGAGAGCTGCGTCGGAGGGCGGACACGGCGCGGCGGCGCCAAGCCAGAGACGGCGCCGAGCGGGGCGGAGCGTCAGCGGCAGGCCGGCGTAGCGAGCGCCGCCAACGTCTCGTCACGGGACGCCACACGCGTCTGCACGGGCTTCGCCACCGCGCGACACATGCGACGGCGACAAATAGCTGACTCATGTGGGGCGGGGCGGCAGTGCGCAGGCCTTGAGGGCCGGCCACGGCCACGGCCGCGATAGCCCGGCGGCACCGGCATCGATCGACGCCATCAGCCGCTACAATCGCGATCACCACACAGTGGCCGGCAGCGTCCACAGCAAACAGTGATGCATGTGACTACACGTGAGTCACGACTGTATGGGTGAAGGCAGTGAGCCACTGCCTAAACGTTAGATCGGCCAGCTCCGGCTATGAGCCGTAGCGGGGTAGATCGCCTAGCTTTGGCTATGAGCCGTAGCAGGGCAGATCGGCCACCTACGGCGAGGAGCCGCCACTGGGTAGATCGGCCAGTTCCGGCTGGGAGCCATTACGGGGTAGACCAGCCATCTCCAGTTAGGAGCCGTCAAATGTTTCATGGGTCAGGTTCAGCTAGGAGCCGAACAGGGTAGATCGGCCAGCTCCAGTCGCCACGCGGTCGTTTGTATTTATTGGTCCCATTTACGTCACAAACTGCCGTTGCCACGTGACATGGCCTGTGGCCTAGAAAAAGGTCTTTTTTAATTTCTCATGTATGTATTCCGAATGGTTTTCATCGTGGCTTTGGGTTCAGAGCACCCACTGTAGGCACTACTTGCAGTGTTGGTAGCTACTTGGCAGAAACTAATTCAGCCGGTTAACACCGAAAAAAACTCACTCCCCATCCTGCTCAATCATGACTACATCCAAGAACGAGTAGCATCTCGGCGTCCGTTACGCTTACATATGGGCGCCGCACACGCACCAGCGCCAACCGCGATGTGGGCGGGCGCGTGGGAGACCAGGGCAGCGGAAGGAAGCGCCATGTGCGCCGCGTGTGGTGGCGGCAAGGTCAGCGCTGGCCCGGCCGAGCGCTGGGATCACGATCACTGCAGCGTCTCATGGCCACAGCGCACGCCAGGCCCCAGATCAGTCCGCACACCGCACATCGCACACCGCACACCGCACAAACACACCGAGCCCCGCGTCGGTCCGCACGGAGGCGTGCCAGCGTACCATCGGGACGGTGGAGCAGCCGCCACTGAGGCCTGCCGCTCGAGTCCGGTCGCTGTGCGCCGGCGACCAGAGCGGACTTCAGGAGGGAGCTGGACCGACGCTCCGGTGCCGGTGCGGCGGAGGCGCAGCTGAGAGGCATGGAGCGCATGGGATTGACCGAGGAGCACGAGGGGCACTCGGCACCGGCGATGAAGGGTCCCATGGCAGGACACGAAGGGCTGGTCGGAGATCGGACACAAAGGCCCCAGCCCGCAACGTCGCGTCACGTTCGAATGTCAGTCAATGGGCTTCCTGCGTTGCTCGAGCCTCTGAGATGGCGAGCACCCCTGTGTCGATCATCAGCACCACAGCACGTAATAGGGATCCTTTGCCGCCAATGGCCCAGTGTCGGCCAAGGGCTTATTTGCTGAACAGGGACAGCCACTGGTCCCGTCAGAAGGCCTCCGGCGTTGGTCAGGGCACTTTGACAATGAAAGGATATGTGCCAACTGACTCTGAAATGATCCGAAATAAGACAGTAAGATAACAGAAGGTCCCCGTCTCAGTCAGGGGAACACAATCACGAACCCGGGACCAGATAAGCCGCACTGAGGTCCCTGTGCCAGATAAGAGACTCCCAGCCGCAGGCAAGGGGCCATTTGTTGTCAGTAAGGCTCCTTGCGTTGATCCCCGCGTCAGAGTGGGGGTTGATGCATTCTGCACTCCACTGAAAGCCTCCACATCGACGGTCTCGGCCCCGTGCCGCCTGGAAAGTAAGCGGTAGATATCGTGGGCTGTGACGAAAAACATTGTCAGCCCCTGACCGGGACAGACAATGGACTTCTGGCGTCCTTACCAAGCGGCTCCTGTCCCGAAAAAGTGATGAGTCTCTTTGGTGCTCTATCCAGCAGGTCCACCATGCTCACACCCGGCGAAGCAACTGGGTAAGAAACTCAGACAATGGAGCCTTTCGAAATAACGTGGGTCAACCCAACACATTTTTCTTGGGGGGGGGGGGGGGGGGGTTAACGAGAGCCTTCGTCAAGCCCTGCGCCTCTTTCCCGTTCTGTTACAGCACTCTGCCTGCATCCCTAGTCTCGGGATGAAGGCGGTCTTCTGTACCGGGCACAAGAACATGACAGAACAGCATCTGGAAGAGCCTGAAATCGTGACCAAACCAGGAACGCCGCCTCCTAATACTGCGTGGTCCACGACAGATATTTCCAGGAACGGGTGTGAGCGGCGAGCAGGCTTTTTGTCCAGCCTTGCCAGCCAAACCAAGCGGTCACCGCCCGGGACAGAGTCCATCAGTCAGAATGTGTGTCACTGCGGCCAGAGCAGGCCCAGCCCAGGCCCTCCGGCTCAGAAAATGGGCACTCTCGGACGGTGGCACAGGAAGTTCCCACAAGCTGGGAGGAGCTGGGGAGGGGCGGGAACCATTTTGGTGGTCTTTCTTTTCTGAAAATTGGCATTGGCTCCATGGGCCAATGTCAATTTTTAGAAAGTTGGGCGGGCTCAGTCTCCTGCGGGCTCATGGCTCCCCCTCCCAGTTTCCGCACCTCTCCCCTTAGGGCCCGAGGGCTTTCTTCAGACCACGACAGACGCAAGAAAGAGATCAATACACCCTTGGCAGGGCGACAGAAAAGGCTGGCATTAACTCAGTTAATTAGGTGGACAGGATGCGTCATTCCAGTATTGTCGTCAGCACAACCGGCAAAAGCTTTCCTCTCGCAATACGGTCGCTCCATGGTGACGGACGCGAAACGTCAAAAGAAAAAAAATGGCAGACGCCAACGCAGACCACCAGGGGCCTCTCTAGCATGGTAGCAGGTGGGGGAGAGGCTTAGCCCCCAGTGTAGTCTCAAGTCTCCCTCAGGACCAAGCCCGTCATTGGGGGGAGGGTGGTGGGAGGTGAATGGGGCGAAGTCAAATGAAGCATAATTTGTTCCGGCCTCTCGTGGAAAATCATTTTAAAAGATCGCAAATATTTGCCACTTGCCGTACAGAAAATGCTATCATTGAAATCTGAGGCGTCTTCCAGTTTGACGGGATAAGCTATACCATGTCAAACGTTCTCGCAGGAGATCCCCTGGCGTCCGACAAGCATCAGCCGATTGGAGAGTCAACAAGAGGCGACGTACCGGACGAGAGTCCGGTGGCCATCCATTCCCTTACACAACCTTGAATAACATTGGATAAGACCGGGGGCCTCACGACAAGACAAACGATCATATGAAAGACATCAGACACAAACTGGCCGGCACCTGACAGCCTGAGGCGGTAAAGCTGTCCCTCTGTTGACACCACCTGATGACTGCCGTCCACTGGCGGAGTTCATGGGATGCCATGCCCGGGTACGCTGCCAGTGGATATCACGACAGGTGCTGATGCTCCACTAGCGGAGCTCATGGGATGCCACGCCCGGGTACGTTACCAGTGGATATCACGACAGGTGCTGATGCTCCGCTGGAGGGGTCCATGGGATGCCATGCCCGGGTACGTTACCAGTGGATATCACGACAGGTGCTGATGCTCCGCTCGCGGAGCTCATGGGATGCCATGCCCGGGTACGTTACCAGTGGATATCACGACAGGTGCTGATGTTTCGCTCAAAAGCTGGGTGGGCTGGACAAACGCTGTTACTCGCCGCGACCAACGGACGGCGGAAACCACTCCACGGTAAACGGAGGCATGCATATCAGTGGGCTTTCAAGACGCTTTTATCGACACAAGGTGTGTTGTCTTAATACTGGATTCCGCATATCCGCAGCCAACATACTCAGTGACGTTAGGTTCCGAATTTGTAAGCTTATTCTATGTAACTTTAAAAAAAATCAAATCTAAAACACTTTTTTACTGCGACTTCTTCCTACGAAAGAATGAATGTAGACTGCTCAATTAGGGGCAGAAGTCAGCAGTCAACAAGTCCCCATGGCCATCTGACGTCACAACAGTGACAGCTTGACGCTGCGTTGAGATCACAAGAGCACACTGACGCACGCTAGTGCTGCTGGCGCCCACGCGAGATCACTCACGCTCGCCCTCAGCGGAAATGCGGCCGGCCGCGTCGCTCGCAGAGGTAGGACGCGCCCACTGGCCGCTTGCCTTTGTAAGACTGTGTGTAAATCTCCCAATGCTGCTCCAGCTAAACAGTGCCAAAACCAGTTATATCCGGAACCACTTTGCGCGACCCCAAGGCGAACGATAGCTCGAGGGTCTCGGACGCAGATCGAGCCCCCCCCCCCCCCCCCCCGAGCCAGAGGCCTAAAGCTGAGTGGAAACGTCTGCATCGATTCAAAACAACACAGGACACAACACGTGGTTGAGTGTTCAGGCACCAAAGCCTATCCAACTGTCCACAGCAAAGCACAACAGGATCTGAAAAAGTTAAGCGCGCCACAACTGCTTTCGCGACCTGCAACGCCAGGCGATCCACCCAGAACCAGTAGCCAGGACAAGGCCGGTCTAGCGACAGACAGATTACGGGTGATCACGCTGCTAGTAACAATAGCCTATATAATGCACCGCGTGCTTGGCATACACTACATCTGGCTGTTGAAACATTTTTGACAGAGTAGCGAAGGGAACACGGCACCAGTGGAGAACAACATTAACAAATGAAGATGAACTCTGACAACGATGGGCAGCGTTAAGCAATTACGCTGAAGCATTTAAACACCACTGAATGCGGGTTTATTTCGCGCAACATTTCTACATCACTTCAAAAGGGCCACTTATGATGCACAGCGCACACCAAGTTCATAAATGATACCATCGAGTGCGTCCCAAATGACTGCTTACGAGTACGTGCAAGGCGTGCGGTAACAACCCGGCCTTCAGGCCCCAGTTTTGGCTAGTGTGTTTACAACTGTAAACGAGATGAGCC